TAATTAACAATCTGCTCATAATAATATGTCATTCCTTTTTTTTTGTAGCAGATCCTCCCCAACCTAAATCCAATTGTTCAATCGCTTGAGATCATCATCTTTGCTTTGTACGATGACATTATGTTGGAAGACGAGGCTGCATCTACACCATCTCCAAGGAGGTCTCCAACGCCATGGCCCGCCACCTCCAAGGAGGTCTCAACGCCGCCGCCAACACCTCCAAGGAGGTCTCCAACGCCTCCCCGCCCCGCCTACCAAGAAGCCTAGCAAGAGGCCAGCCCTCAAGCGAAGAACCGGGTCCCCTTTGCAAAGAAAGCCACCGTGAAACCAAGGGCTATTCCCAAAATAATATCTAAAGAGAAGGAAGAAGGAACTGATGCATATAAAAAAGACATGTCTAGATTCTATGACAAACTTAAAATGAATCAAGAAGCAAGGAGAAACCCGGAGAAACCGTACTTCTTCGTAGCTCCAGATATTCTAAGAAAAAAGGTGACTTCTTACCAGCAACAACAGCGGGAATCTCGTAAGCCATCCAAATCAACGTTATCAGACTATGACCGCACTCTCACCAAGTCAATTGAGGCGGCACAGAAAAAGAAGCGGGCAGGGAAAGGCATTGCCCAACTCGGACAACAAGCGCACCAATCAATCTCCCCGCTAGTTATTGGTAATGAATATGGTTCGAATTTAGGATTAATGCATCAGGCAAACATACCTCCGGATGTCGATTTGGATCACCTTGGTGAATTTCTTGATGAGACTGGTCTCGATCTTTACCAGATGTTTGGTGATGGAAACATTGAGAGTGCGGCGGAGGTTGATATTTGGAAGAAAAAATTTGTACTAGGCCAGAGTCTATACAACCCTCAAGCCTTATCTGATCTGGGGACGCAAATGTACCTGCTAAACAAGTGGTACATGCAGGCGTCTACCAGTGGAGACTTCTGCGTTGGTGTCAGAATTAGAGACGAACATTGGTTCCGTGGCGATGATGTTATGTATGTTGACTTTGCAGAATTTCATCAACTATGCCACCTGACCTCTCTGGACAAAGTTATCATTAGCTACTATTGCCTATAAGTAATAATTCTTTCGATATATTATTAAACTCATCATATGTGTGTATATGCATATAAATTATCCTAACAAGTACTATATATATGCAGATTTACAATGACAGAGCTCAGAAAGGAAGGCTGCAATGAAATTGGTTTTGTTGATCCCCATATAGTATTCAAAGACCCAATTACTCCAAAGACTAATTGGAAGTCTGAGTCAGAGAGTAACCTCATGAACTTCTTAGTGAACCAACGCCACTAGAAGGATATACTCTTTCCCTATAACTTCAAGTGAGTGTTAATCATGTCGATCATATCCTTAATGGCTCATATGTTGATTCTAGTTAATTAATGAGTGTTATGCGTTATATCCTATAAACACATGCAGCAATCACTGGATATTGATGGACATCGATCTGGTGAAAAGTCACTTGATAATCTATGACTCGATGAGAAAACCACAACAAGACTACCAAGATATGATAGATATTATCCAGAGGTAATTTCGGGATCTCTAGCAACTATATATACACACAAACATGATGATTAACTATATCGATGACGTGGCAAATTTTTTATTGGCGGTGTTTGGAAAAGCTTTGTTGAGAAGCAACACATGGAAAAATGCAAAGCGCCCTTGAATGTAATCCCTTTGAAAGTAAGTCCCACGAATCGCATCATCTTTATTAATTAAACATATAGCTTTCACCGGATCACCAGATTGGATGACAAATCTTTTTAAAAAAAGTGGTGTCTAAGGCGAGAACAGGGAACAACTACTGTGGTTACTATGTTTGCAAGTTTATCAAGATGCTCTCCCAAAGAACTCCTACAGAGAGACTCAAAGTATGTTAAAAATACACTATATATTCATTTAATTATTATTATTGATTGTGTTACTATATCTTTATATATATATATATATGTACGTATATTAATTTATTTTCCTTTAATTCAAACCTGTAGACTTGATGGTTGGAGGAAAAGGTCATACGGCAGGACCAAATCAAAGCAATTCAAGAGTCTATAGCCGGATTTTTTAATGAGCAGGTCATCGATTCCAAGGGCGAGTTCTACTTCGACCCAACACTGCCATTGAAGCCAAGCTAGAGGATGAGAGGAAACTTGTTATGTCACAACAACTGTAATGCAATCTTTTGTAATATATGCACATGAAATAATATAATGTAAAATACACATATGCATGCATGCATTTAATATATATATGATGCATGCATTCATATATATATATATATATATATATATATATATATATATATATATATATATTTCTATGCTTGAATTGTGTGATTTAATACGTTCATTGTGCTTGAACCGAAACATACTATATGCGCGTATAAATGTATAATTAGCAGCGTACAATACGACTTCGAAAACCTATTTTGAAAAGAAAACAAAAAAATGAAAAGAAAAGAAAAAAGAAAAAAACCTTTAGTCTCGGTTCATATTACCAACCGGGACTAAAGGTGCCGGCCATCGTGGCATGTCAGGAGGCACCTTTAGTCCCGGTTGGTGTTAGCCACCGGGACTAAAGGTCCTCCTTTAGTCCCAGTTCCTGACCCGGGACTAAAGGACCCCCTTTAGTCCCGGATGCTTGCTCCCGGGTGGGGAACCGGGACTAGAAGGGGTTCCCCACCGGGAGTAAAACTCGGTTCTCTATCAGTGAGGTAGTTGTTGAAGAAGGCGGCCTCATCAGCCCATGAGTCGATGGAGTGCAGCTGGACTGCCAGCTTCGCCCGCCCGCGTCGTCCGCCTCGTCGGTGTGAACGATGCGTAGTATCGTGGTGGGTGGAGTCGCTCGCCCATGTCGCACGCCTCGCCGGCGTCGGGCGCGTAGTGTCGGTGTAGTTGATCGTCGCGTAGTGTCGGTGTAGGTGCGGCGCCATCGGATTTGCCTGTCCGGTGCGGCTGTGGCCATGACCATCTGTACCGTGCCACACACAAACACAGAAAAAATAAAAGGCATTAACATGCCCTTACGTCGATGACGAGAGGCATGGCGTCCATCGCTGTTGTAGATGTGGAGCCGTTATCGATGGCATCCAGGCTCGCCTCGGCGTCGACACACTCGCCGGCTCGATGCAGTTGCGTCCGGCTCGGCGTGATCGTACGGGGTCGGGGCACCTCCTTGCACCAGGTGCCGCCAACGTGTTCCTCGGCGTTCATGAGCCCTCCCGCTCCTGGAGTTGGCTGCCTTCGTGGTGATCTTTTGGCGCCAGCGACGTCTGCCTTCCTGGTGATCGTCCCGGCGTAGATGCTCCGTCGACGGTGGCACGTCGTACATGCATACGTCTGCCGTCCCATCGGTCCAGATGGAGGCGGTGTGCAGGCGAAGTGCTCCCGCACGTCCCTCCTGCCGGCGTCGACGATGGCGCCCTTGCCGATGGCGTGCTCCTCCGGCTACCTTCCCGGGTGATGATCTTGGCGCCGTAGCGACCAGAGCTCCGTGGTTGCGGCGGCGAGGCGCTGCCCTCTTGTTCATGCTCCTGGCGCCGCACTATATAGCGGCGGCTGCCCTCCTAGTCCTCGGATGGATGGCGCCGTGGCGGCGGCTGCCCTTCCTTGCGTGATTAGCCTCTCCCGTGAAGTCGAGGCCTTCTTTTATAGGCCAAGGGCCGCTCGCGTTCGTTGAAGCTGGAGCGATATTTGCGCGTCGCTGGTTACTTCGTGGTTATCCCTCGAGGTTATCCATCCATCTAGACGATTTGTGCCCGCTGATCTCCGAAGGTTAGACTCCACCTGTCAGCCGGGCCACCTGCGGGCAGTCTGGCACACAAACCTGCGTATACGTGCGTGTACACCGCAGCCGGGTATATTTCTGGTCACGTATCATGCATGGACACGCTTAGTGTTGACGTTGAAGATGTCCTCAAGCCAACACAGCTTGCTAACTTATTAGCGCACATTATTACATGAACGCTCATTTTCATGCATGAGACCGTATCACATAGAAGCTCATACACTTGCTAGCTTCTTCTTTGTTATTCTTGCATGGCTCACGTTATCAGCCGTATCGCGTGTGCAGCCATACGTGTATATACTTGTGTTTGAATTAGCTTGTCATAAGCACATTCATGCAGGCTGCTAGCTAGCTAGTAGTAGCTCCATTTGCCACACGTGAACAACCATGCACATGAGACCATGACAAGAAGCCAATACGATTTGGTAGCTTCTTATCTTTTAATTTCTTCTAGCTTCTCAATATATACAGCACATACCAAGACATATACAAACTAGAGAAATTTTGTACAAAATCTCGTCAAACATTTACGCGCATTCTTAGTGTTTTTGTATCGGCATGATAGAGAGATAAAAAACAGTAGAACAGGTACTGTGTGCATGGACATGACAGATCAATGGCTAACCTTCGAAAGTATATTCTCCTCACACCATCAAGCAGTTTTAGACTCCACTTCCTCCTCACTCCCCTCTTCATACGGTACAGAATCATTGCAGTCAGTCTCAGCATCGACATTATTGTCTTTTCCATTAAGTGCTGGCATCTACACAAGCCTCGGAGGATAGTTGTTCTTCCACCCAAGCTTAACAATCCTTGTAGCCTCCTCGACTCTAGATGCAGCAACCAATGCGGTCACTACTGCCTGCAGCAATGAACATTTCACTCTGCACTTCCTATTAAAGATCTCCTGACAACAATTTAGAGCAAGATCAAGCTCCATGGCCTCCACAAGACATGGTATGAGGGTTTCAAATGTGCCCTTATTTGGTGCACATCCATTCCTTACCAGATCATTATATACCTTCTTGGCTTCATTCAACCTCCCTTCCTTGCAATACCCTCGAATCAGCTCATTGTAGGATACTGAATCAGGTTCAGGCCCTTCCTTCTGCATCCTCTCAATCACAGCAACGGCATCCTCAACCCTCGCTTGGGAAACCAAACCTCGCAGCTTTGCATTATAGCTCTTTGCGTTCGGCCGGCTCAACATTCCTCTCCTTCATCATCTCCCAAACTTTCTCGGCGTCATCAAAGCTATCATTGTTGTAAAACCCATTGAGCAGAATGTTAAAAGAGACGATATCAGGTGTAATACCGCGCTTCTCCATGAGCGTGATGACATCGAGGGCGGCCGAGAGGTCCGGCTTCTGGCGCAGCGCACTGATGAGTATATTGTAAGAGTATACAGTGGGTACAATGGTGGGGTGTGAGGCCGGGATCTGCTGGAACGCGGTGGCGAGTGCGTCGAAGTCGCTGACGTAGACGGAGGCGGCGAGGAGAGCTTTGAAGGTCATGTCGGACTTGTGCTTCGGTGGAAGGTCATGGAAGATCGCGGCGGCGTGGGACGGCATGGAGGCGCGTCCGCAGAGGCGGATGAGGCGTGCGGCGAAGCCCACGTTGGAGGCCTCGATGAACGGCTTCTGTGAGTCGATGATGGCCGCAATGGCGTCGTGGCGGCCGGAGGAGGCGAGGCGGTCGACGGCCGCCTCGTACACGCGGTGCTCGTCGCGGAAGCGTTCAGACGCGGTCGATTGGACGATGAACCGGGACACCAGCTTGTCCGGATCGCGCTCCCGGAAGATGGCCTTCAGGATTTTGGTGAGATTCCGGGACTCGCGGCGCTCGTCGGGTTTCGCACCAGCCTGGCCAGCAGGCGCTTTCGGAACCTGCGCGGGCTCGGGCGCCGGTTTGGGTGGTCGGGTGCGTGGCTTGGTCGAGGAGAAGATGCTGAAGAGGCGGCGAGGGAGGCCATGGCAATGGGGTGGGGGCAACGCGACGTCGGGGTGGGGTTTGCGGCTAGCCGACTGGCCACTGTGGTGAGACAGGCGGAGGGTTTCGCATTGGTTGCACATCCGTGAACTTTTGCAGCCCAGCGCACAACCCAGCTGGACCGCGCTGCTCATTGCTACAGAGCCCATCAACGAGAAGATGCTGTAGAGGAGGCGGCAGGGACGCCACGTGCCATGGCAATGGGGCGCAACGTGAGGAATATTTTTATTTTTAAATCCTATTTTAATTGTATTTTAAAAAAGCTCCACTTATTTTTTTTATTTTTAACCATTTTAGTCGTGCCAACGTGTCGCTTGGTGCGATAAAAGCACATTGTCACGCTTCATGCGTTGGCGCGGCAAAATCTACCAATTGGACGATGATTTTAACGTGAAAACCTTGTCCCGACATGTTTTATGGCGCCAACGTTCGTGATAAAGCTCAATCTTAGAAAATCATATCTTTTCTATATGACACCGGAAAAAAATGATTTTTAAATGAAAATTGTAAATCAATCTACAACTTTCTCATTTTGAGTTTTTTTCCATTTGAGGTCGTTAAAATTCTTAAAAAATAATATAAAGTTTCAGCAACATAATAATCACGTACACGTGCTTGTCGTCTTAGAAAAATAATATCTTTTTTTTATATATTATCCAATGAAGAAATTTTTTATACAAAAGTTATAACAGTCAATAAGATCTACAATTTGTAGTTTTGAGTTTTAAATTTGAGGTCGTTACGATGTAAAAAATAATATAAAATTTCATCAACATATTAATAGCATACCAAAATCATATATTTTTTGTATGGGATCAAACGAAAATAGTTTTTATTTTGAAGTGTAGTTATCGATGAGATATACAAAATTTTTAGTTTTGAGATTTCTCATATGATATAGTTAATATGCTCAAAAAATAGTTTAAATTTTAAAAAATATATTAATCGTCTACAAAATTTTTAGTTTTGAGATTCCTCATATGATATATTTAAAATGCTCAAAAATAGTATAAATTTAAAAAAACATATTAATCACCTAACATGCTTTTTTCTTTGAAGAATAATATCTTTTTTATATGATGTCAGATAAAGATAATTTTAAATCAAAGGTGTAGATTTATGGTGAGTTACACAGTTCAATAAAAAGTATATTTATCCAACATCGTATTAGAAGGATATAATTTTTTCTAAAAAAACTAGCCCTAGTACGCGATTAATATGTTCTTAAAATTTATATTACTTTTTTTAGCATCTTAATGATCTCAAATAAAAAACCTTAAAACTGAAAAATATGATTTTGGTACTGCATTAATATGCTGACGAAAAACTTTATATTATTTTTATCATATTAACTATCTCAAATGTAAAAACTCAAAATACAAAGTTGTATATCTCATTAGGAGGTATAACTTTCATATAAAAAGTATCATCTTTTGACATCATACAACATCATATAATTTTTCTAAGACGACGAGCACTTGTACACAATTATTTTGCTGCTGAAACATTATATTATTTTTAAGCATCTTATCGATTTTAAATGAAAAAAATCAAAACTAGAAAGTTATAGATCTCATCAAGATCTAGAATTCTCATATAAAATTATCTTGGGAAATTTGGCCACAGGACATTCGGAAAACATGAAATTGACTGCTGCACACCACCAACTCCAATATTGGCCGAGTACCATTATGAAATTGGATTCATTTGCTAGAACACACCGTCCCCATTAAAATATAATTTCTGCTAGTTCCGGGAGAGAGAAGCTATGGAAAATAGCGTGTTTGCCCTCATCTTCTTCCTTCGCTTATTGGCGACACCATTTTTTAGCCTTGTAACTATCTCGCTAAATGTGTAAAACTCATGAACAATCCGCCACATCCAAGCCACGAGGGCCCTCCTCCCGTGGGCGCAGGTCCAGCATCGCACCAAACACCACCATCTCTAATTGTGTGTCAGCTATCATCGTATCCATATCAAAGAAAGATCTCATTATGGTATAACTTTCATACATAAAAAGTATCCAAAGCGATGCTCTTTTGACATCATACAACATCATATATTTTTTTCTAAGACGGCAGCGTAGCCATCCTGAGGCACAGCCACCAGCACTGAGCTACACAAATTGGGCATTTTTGTCTTTTGAAACATTATATTACCCCCGGAGAGCATCTTATCGATCTTAAATGATAAAAATCAAAATTAGAAAGTTGTAGATCTCATCGAGATCTAGAATTCTCATATAAAATCATTTTCATTTGATGTCGTATGGAAAATGTATATTTTTTCTAAGGTTGAGCCTTCTCACGTCACTCCCATTTACACGATAAAACACTACCGTCACGGCAACAAGAACGACGTGCAAGGATTTCCACATCGAAATGAATCAATCCTGCTTGGCAGATCTCGCTGTGCCAACGCATGCGCGTTAGCATGACAAAAGAGTGAAAAAAAAAAGTGAAGCTATTTGAAAATAAAATTTTAAAAAAGATTAAAAATAAAAATATTCCGCAACGTGACAGGAACTGTGGGGTTTGCTCGCAGCTTCTGGGTCATCTCCCCATGACCCCACCTCACCGACCGTGACAGCGGCAGCTGAACTGTTCGTGGAGATCGCTGTAGAGAGTGGAGATCGTGGCCATAGCCCACAGACAATCTGCACGTACCTCGTGCTCTCTAGCGCTCTTCCTTTTTTTTACGACTTGAAGCTTCAATCAATCAGGAAACAGCACAGTTACAATCTTCAGTCAGCAGACCGACAATGCAGGATGGGGCTAACTGCCACCCACCCACCTTGTTGCTATCTGAGACTTGCTTTGCTAGAGTATGGGCTACACGATTACAAACTCTATTAGCATACACCAGAGAAAAATCAACAAAAGAAACACTAAGCTCTCTTATTTCTCTGATGATCGGTGAAATGCAAGACCTCTGACTTTCTCACATCTCCCAAAGCTTCAACAATTCTTGGTTGTCTGTTTCCACCTGCAGTTGGCGGACATTTAACTCCCCAGCCAGAATCATGCCATCCCTACACGCTTCAGCTTCCATTGACAAGGCGTTCAATCCATGCTGATGCCATGGGGAAGGGGGTGCTCTACCTCCTACATAAGTTCTTGTATGATCTCAGAGCTACCATTGTGTTAAAAAAAAAGTTATTGTATGATCCCGGAGCACTACCCCCGTTGCACCCTGTCCCTGGTCTACATCAAAAGCGCCATCAACATTGCATTTCACCCAGCCAACAGGTGGCATACTCCATTTCTTGATAACAATTGCACCCTTTTGCCTTGATTCAGTGAGCAATTGGCATAGATCATGAGCAGTGTCTACAAACCACTGTACCAGCTAACTCAACGGGGGCGATTGGCACCATGCTGAAGTTTGTTTCTTTGCAGCCACAGAGCATACATCCCAATGCAGAAGACGCTGCGGTCATGCTCAGAACAGAACTCCGGTTTTAGTATGTCGCTCTTCCAGATGTGAGGGTGGAGTCACGGCAGTTTGGCTCCAGACAGAGACCTCATCTCCTGCCAAAAAATTCTAGCAACTGTGCATTCAATTAGAGTATGTTTAATAGACTCCCTATCAGCTCCATAGATCTCACAAAAGCTCATGGGTTCAATGTGCCTTCGGTGGAGGACATCCTTTGTTGGGATAAATTCATGGAGGACTCTCCACCAGAAGACCTTCACTTTCAGAGGAACTTGCAACTTCCAAATACGTTTCCAGGATTCATCATCCAAAGCACTAGCTTGGAAGGTTTGGGGTGCAGCCAACTTCTTGTAAGGCGACTTGACTGTATATTCACCATGCTTCTCCGAGTCCCAAGTCCACCAGTCCTCCTCTTGTGGTCGTACAGGGATCCAAAGAATAGCTCGAGCATCAATGGTAGGAAGATGGACTTAATAAGATCTTCATTCCATCATCCAGCCTCTATCATTAGCTCCGACACATGGCTCACTTCGTGACCTGCGTTAGGTGTAATCGGCCGTGCATCGAAATGCATTGTAATCCAACGATCATTCCAAATATGTGTCGAGCTACCATCACCAATTTGCTTGATCAATCCCTTTCTAGGACTTCTCTACCAGCGAGTATCGATCTCCATGTGTGACTAGCATGCTTCTTTCACGTGCTACTCAAGAAGTTTCGAACATGGAAATAATGGCCCTTGAGTACTTTGGCACATAGGCTGTCAGGCCGGGTGATAAGCCTCCACCCTTACTTCCCCAACATAGCCTTGTTAAACAAATGCAAATCACGGAATCCCATGCCTCCTTCTGATTTGTGCCATGTCAAACCGTCCCAACGTAACCAGTGAATATGACGGTTATCTCCGGATCCTCCCCACCAATAGTTCGCAATGGTGGCTCTCATTTTCTTACAGGTGGTTTTGGAAAGCAAGAAGCAACTAATAGAATAAGTTGGCATAGCTTGCGCCATTGATTTTAGAAGAACTTCTCTCCCAGCACTTGAAAGGTCCTTATTTTGTTTTGGTAATTGAGTGAGAACCTAGGTAGACTAATTGTGTTTAATGTGAGATACATAGTTAATTAGTCCATAGGTACATCATGTGTGAGCAACCTATGCCATGATGGTAAAATGGCTTGGATTTGTTGCAAAGCTCACACATGTGATGAAGAAGCTCATTGCATATGAGACATGACATTGAATCATGTGATTAAGGTGGAGAAGATCAAGACAAAACTTAGCTCGACGGACCGGTTGCAAGTGTGAAGGGCAAGTTGAGTGATGACTTGGCACCAATGGACCAAAGCAATGAGAGAAGAGCAAGTGAAGTCAAGATCGATGAATCAATACGGTCACATGATGATATGAAGTGGATCATATCATTTGGTGATTGGTTGGTGCATGTGTTGCATCAACGATGGAGGAGATGGAATGGAATACAAAAGACAAAGGCATATTTGTAGGGCATTTTATTTCACCGGTCAAAAGTTGTGTAGAGAAGTGCATGATCGGGTTTATGATAGATGGTCATACTATTAAGAGGGGCAAACTTGTTTGCATATCGATCATTTAGTGCCACTTGAGCGATCTAACTTTGCATACATGTTAG